CAAGATATTGCTATACCAAACACTTGTATCAAGTTTCATGAAATTCTCTTGAGGAATGAAGTCTGTAGAAGAATGACATTATTTTTCTAAAAATAGTAACCGTGACCTTGACCTTGAACATAGAAACCAGGAACGCAAACTTGTCCAATGCCTTGCCGTACCAAACACTTGTATGAAGTTTCATGAAATTTTGTTCAGTAACTAGAACACTGACAGGTCAGTAAGGGTCCCGTCTATTATCAAGAAGCAATCTGACCATATAGCCGAGCTTGAAGTTTGACATTTGGACTTCAAAAAGTATCGCAAGGAAGCAAAATATACAGTTTACATGTACTTTGATGTGAATCTTGTTTCCTTCCACATCCGTATTTGCTGGGATGACAGAAATGTAAATACCGGTGCAATACTCATTTGTTAGCTTTGATTTGTTTTATTTCACCTTAAATACCCCCCCATCAAGAGACAGGGTCAAAGTCCGAGATCCACTTTGTCTTTGACCTTTGGACCCAAATTACCCTGACCTTTAATCCAGTGACCCTGATCTTTGGTCAGTTGACTTATTCTTTAATTCCGACCAACTTTGCTTCATAAAATCATAACAAAATGTTCATCAGTGAAAAATACAAAACTTGACCTTGACCTTGAACCTTTGGACCCCGTAACATGGACCTTTGGTCAGAAATCCGTGTTAAGTTCTGAACAACTTTGCTAAATAATAACATAAACAAAATGTTCATCAGTGAAAAGATACAAAATTTGACATTGACCTTTGACACAGTGTCCTTGACGTTGTCAGAGAGATGACATTCATAAAGATGGCATTCAGAGAGATGACATTCAGAGAGAGGAGACTGGAGACTAGATTTAACTAAAGAAACATGGAAATAGATATAACGAGTTAGAAACAATGAACTGGACTTGAGCTTATCTATTATTCTCCAGACCTTACAAGAACTGACCGTCACAATACCATAATCTTTATTTTGAGATACAGAGTAAAACCTCGTTATACTGCCCCTTCCTGTCCAGAGATTATTTTGACATTGTTAAGTGGTTTGACGATAAATTGAGGGAAATGTAGACTGAAATTCTTAGATAGCTAATACAGTATTGTTATAATACCACCATTTGTCCAAATAAATTTGCGTTATAGAAGGTTTTGATGATAAATTGAGAGAAACGTAGAAAGGTTTTCTTTAGAAAATGAAAAAAGGAACATTGAAATATGTTGATGGTAGGTGAGGTCACAAATGAAATGAGGGACATTATATCGAGGCTGAAATTGTTCTAACAATTGTTACTAAAATTAAGTAATGATCTTCCTTTTCACCACTAAACTAAAATTTTGCTCATTTCCTATGATATATATATAAATTTCTCTCATTTCCCTGTGTGTAAGATAGAGCTGTCCAGGGTAAGAAAAGGGGTGTAGGAAATTTCTATCTTACACCCCATTTCACGTAACGTGACGTCACAAATTTGAAACTCTCTGATGCCGCAATGCGGAAAAGGCGACGTGATGAAGTTATAAACCTTTTACGATATATTTACCGTACATGTTAGAAAGATGTGGTTAATATTCCTGTGCAAACTCTGTTTGACAATATGAGATATGCCAAATCCTGCTGGCTGATTCATATTGGTCTAAAAAGCTCTGGGGGAATATTGATATTTTCAAAATGGTGTCCAGTCCAAACGGATTTTCATGGTTTCTAAGCGTATTCTGGTGGTTGGAATGAGAGAAAAATACTCTTTCATGCCCAAGGGTGTAGAAAAGAATACCCCTCGGGTGGAATTTCCCTATCCTACACTCCAGAGCATGAAAGAGTCTTATAATCTTAAAGATTACATTACATTTTGTATATGAAGAGAATGTAATTAGTATGTGTTTAATAGATAAAGTAATTTAAACAATGGAAAATTCTTGATTACATGATAACAGTATTATTTATACAAGCATAACTGGATATTATTACAATTTGGTTATAGGTCTATATAAGTCAATAATACACTTCTGTTTCATCAAACACAAATTTATACAAACTGTCATTGGAGGGAAAAGCAATAGTTCTCTCATGAAAGCAAAAGCCATGTTTTTTTTACATTTTTAAAATAAATATAGCATTATGAAATTTTCTTGAACAGTTCATTATTATCAAATATTTTCTTTTATTCAGTTAATGAAATAGATATGAGAATTTCAGGGTTAACTTACCTATTTTCACGTTCTATGTAATCAATATCAGTAACCATATCTAATAATTCTCAAAACCCCCCAACTTAAATCAGTAATTGATGTCATTTGCTTCATTTTCCATTATGCAAACGTTTAGACATTTTTCGTATAATTTTTTACTTGAGAACTTTAAGCTTTAAAGATGAAGCAGAGCATAGCTAGGAACATGTAACATGTAACATGAGAGCAAACTGGATATGTAAAGTGAACGTACACATCTTTTGTAACAAGAGGCCCAATGGGCCTGCATTGCTCACCTGGTATAAAACTAACACTTGTAACCCTAAAAGTGATCTAAAATAAAGCTACAGGCAAAATATCAGTATAAATGATTAAAATTTGTTCAAAAGACCCTGTTATTTTTTTTTAAACATTTCACCCCTGTGATTGAAAGTCGAACAAAGTCATTATGTTGAACACATTGTATAGCCTTTCATCTCAGGATGCAACTTGCAAGGTATAAACATCCTGGGACCCATGGTTATTCATTAGAGGTTGTTTAAAGACTTTAAACAAATTTGACCCCTGTGACCTTGAATATAAGTCAAAGTCATTAACTTTAACAAACATAGTAGTCCTTGATCCCAGCATATGCTACTAACTAAATATCAACATCCTGAGCCTTTTGGTTATTCAGAACAAGTTGTTAATATATTTTAAACATATTTGGTCCATATTCAAGGTCATACAATTAAACAAACTTGGTAGCCCTTGATCCTAGTATGCTATTGACTAAATATCATCACCCAGGGCATTTTGGTTATTCAGAAGAAGTTGTTTAAAGTTTTTTTAACATATTTGACCCCTGTGACCTTGAATATGGGTGAAGGTCATTTATTTGAACAAACTTTGTAGCCCTTTATCTCAGCATGCTACTAGCCAAAAATCATTACCCTGGGCATTTTGGTTATTGATAAGAAGTTGTTAAAAGTTTTTAACATATTTGACCCCTGTGACCTTGAATATGGGAGAAGGTCATTCATTTGAACAAACTTTGTAGCCCTTCATCTTAGCATGCTACTGGCCTAATATCATCACCCTGGGCATTTTGGTTACTGAAAAGAAGTTGCATAAAGTTTTTAAGACAATTGACCCCTGTGACCTAGAATATAATTGAAGGTCATTTATTTGAAAAAACTTTGTAGCCCTTCATCTTAGAATACTACTGGCCCAATATCATAACCCTGTGCATTTTGGTTACTGAGAAGAAGTTGTTTAAAGTTTTTAACATATTTGAACCCTGTGACCTTGACAATGGGTGAAGGTCATTCATTTGAACAGACTTTGTAGCCCTTCACCCTAGCATGCTACTAACCAAATATCATCTCCCTGGGCAGTTTGGTTATTGAGAAGAAGTTGTTTAAAGTTTTAACATATTTGACACCTGTGACCTTGAAAATAGATGAAGGTCATTTATTTGAACAAACTTGGTAGCCCTTCATTCCAGTTTGCTTCTGGCCAAATATCATCACCCTAGGCCTTCCGGTTATTAAGAAGAAGTCATTTAAAGTATAATATAGAGGCCAGACGATGGACGAACGGACGGATGACGGAGGAAGGGATGACGGAGGGACGACGGACGCCGCACCACGGCATAAGCTCACTTGGCACTTTGTGCCAGGTGAGCTAACAAAGGGATAGGTTTCATTCTGAGTAATCGACTTGTTCTAGAACACAGCACAGCAATTTTTCAGATTGTCGAATTATACTTATAACTTTTGGCATTAAGTTTAAATGTTTTTCAAGACGTTTAAATGAATTTTCATTGTCTTTGAAAATTTTGAAAATTAACAAAATAACAGAAAGATTGTTCACGTGTAGCTGGTCTGTGTTCCAAGTACAGTGGTACAAAGTCATACCTTTGATATAAATATTTTAATGAGCACAAAGGTGTTAGACCAACAATGAAAAGGTAACCTACCTGGGGTGGTAGTGGTAGTTGCGGCTAAATGTCAAAATTCAGGCAAAATATATCAGAAAAAATGACCTCATGTTATTAATGTCCATAGACTTAAATGCATTAATCTAAGATATGTATATAAGCCATGTTAATATAGAGCTAAATTCAACTAGAAAATGCTTACAAAACATACCTACGTCCACACTTTGATGGAAATTGATCTATAAACATAATGTCTAACCAAAATGGAACTTAATAAAGTTCAGCCAAGGTCACAAAGTAGAAAATATAGGTCACAGTGACCTACGTGTCACATGTGAACTCACTCTGAAGATAATTTCTATTGTTGTGTTATTGTTCTATTTTGGTATAAAATGTTTCCAGCCTTTGTGGTAGGGAAAATGTTCTTGTTAGAATTTAGTTTAGAAATGTTTCATCATAGTAATCATGCTGCATCATCGTAAAACACAATTTATGAGTACTTGCCAACTTTTTGAAATTTCCATGGGGGAAATTCTGCATGCTCAAAATTAAAACATAAATAAATGTGTGTATACACCCCCTAGAGTCAAAAATGACCCTTTAAAATTACATATTTTTAGTTGTTCTTTCAGATAAAATAATTAGATTTTTGAATATAGGAACAGTTAAGCAAATTCACTGGTTGAAAACACTAAATTTAAGGGTACAAAATTGGGAGTTACCCTCGTAAATAGTGAGGTTTGGCAAGTATGTTTATGTTGGGGATATAAAGAATTGTGTTTCGCTATAACAAGGACAGTAATATAAAATGTTACTAGGTTGTTAGTAGATGGAGCTAACCATATTGATGTCATCTCCAAGACACATGTTTGAACGTGATGTTTATCCCAAAATTATCTCGACATCAATCGTAACTTGAGTGTAGTGACAACATTGATGCCAGCACTGAAAGAAACATCACAATTATTTCGATTTGCAAAATTCAGAACAAAACTGAACTTTGACTTATAAAAAGGGATTCAAATAACCCCAAGCAAGAGGACCAGAGGGTCTGTATTGCTCCACTGGATATTTAAACAATCATGGGAAGATTTGTCTCAGGTAACCTCTATTGAGCCCCATCCTGACTGCACTTTTGAGAGCCCAAACCCTTAGTTTATACAACGTTGAGTCCTTTTGATCCAAGGATATTTCATGCAATGTACAAAATTTTGTCAAGCAAGTTTAGGTCATTTTCTTCAATGGCACTCTTCCTTTTAAGTAAGGAGTTGCTAAAAGGTTTTTACATATGTGATGCCTGTGACTTTGATAGTAGGTCAAGGTCATTCATTTGAGGAAAGTTTATAGCAACACATCACAGCATGCTACTGGCCAAATATCATCACCATATGTGTCTTTAGAGTTATTCAGCAGAAATTGTTAAAATGTTATAACATATTTGACCCCTGTGACCTTCAACAAAGGTCAAGGTCATCCTTTTGAGGAAACTTCATAAAACTACATCACAGGTACTTATTGGCCAAATATCATCATCCTTAGCCTCGTGGCTATTCAGAAGAATTTGCTTGAAGATTTTTTTTACATGTGACCACAGTGGCATTGGAAGTAGGTCAAGGTCATTTATTCGAGGACACTTTATAGTACTCCATGCCAGGTACTTACTGGCCAAATATCATTACTCTAGGCCTCTTGGTAATTTAGAAGAAGGTCTTTAAAGAGTAGGTCAAGGTCATTTATTTGAGGAAGCTTTACAGTACTCTGTCACAGGTATCTAGTGGCCTAATATCATGACCCTAGGTCCTCAAGTTCTGTTCTTTAGAAGAAGTTGCTTAAAGAAAAAGTTGATGGATGACAGATGAAGGACAATACGACATACCATAAGCTCAGGGCTACGATTTACTGGCATTTCATTTATTAAGTCCTTAAGTGAAGATATGTTTTGTCTGTTATTGTAATAAATGTATTTATTCCACATTTGAATGAGGAAGTACATGTGTACCCATTGCTGGATTAGTGCCAATCTTTACCACTGAATACTATCATACTGTGTATATCTACCCAGTATCCAGGTAGTAGGGGTTTCCCCCATTCAAACCAGGAAGTTTGTAAAACTCACCAGTCAAACACCAGCTAATCTATTAGCTACAGTACGTACACCTAATCAGGTCTTAGCTGGTTGTAAATCTCCTTTTCTTTACTATATTTGCTTCCTCGTTAGCTCAAATTTAAAAACCTGAGTTCCATGTAAAAAAAAGCTCATCTCAAGTATACCTCAGAATTATCCTTGTAAAATGTTCTAAAAAAAATCCAGGAAATTTTGTTTTTAAGCATCTCAAAATGACAAACCAAAGACACCTCAGTCATACGTTTAACTATTTATTAATAAATTCTGGATAAATTAAAACAAATTAAAACAAAACATATCTGTAACGTTTAGAATCAACAATTAGATTTATATAAAATATAGCATGAAATCTGTGCAATGAAATATATATTTAAATATATGCAATAGCCATACATATTCTGTTTATAATATTTTAAAGTTAATATCTCAATGCTTGAGATATACCAAATCTTTGTAGTCATGTGTTGCCAAAATTTTGGTAGTCTGTCTACATAGTTTCCTGGGTAGTGTCCTTTTAGATGAAAATATTAAAGCTACATGTATTTTTGATGTCAGTGACTGAACAAACAAGCAAAATCTTAGAATTTATATCTCCCTCTTACAGCACAAGTTATTTCTGTTGGTCATTATTTTGGTTTGGTGTAGACATACTGTACAAAAAGGATGGCGAACCCGAAGAAAACTTGCCAAGAATTGTTCCAGCTTTCTTATGAAGTTGCATGAGTATATACAATATATTCATGAATTATGGAGGCTGACAAACTCAGCCCTAGGTAAATGTACATCAAATTCGGTTGAAATCAAACTATTTTTAGTGGAGTTATTTCATAGAAGCCAATTGACCAATCAGAACTGGGAAGCTTTATTTATGCACAAACAATATGCATCAAACTTAAAGCCTCACATTAGCCAACACGTGATAAGTGCATACCAAATTTGGTTAAAATTAAACCTTTACTAGGAAATACACAGAAACATATAATCTAAACAGAAATGAGTAGCCTCATTTATTATGCGTAAATATGCATGCATCAAAATGTCCATTAAAAACAATCTGACAATTGAATGTATGAATGTGCAAACCAAATTTGGTGGAAACTGAACACTTGTTAAGGCAGTAACATGTACTGCACAAAAACTAGCATGACAGTGGAAATTGAACACTATTTTATGTAGTTATATGTATAGCGCTAAAACTAGCACGACAGTGGAAATTGAACACTATTTTAGGTAGTTAAATGAATAGCGCTAAAACTAGCACGACAGTGGAAATTGAACACTATTTTAGGTAGTTAAATGAATAGCGCTAAAACTAGCATGACAGTGGAAATTGGACACTATTTTAGGCAGTTTGATGTATAGCACTTAAACTAGCATGACAGACAGGCAGACAAACCCAAATGAATTCCACATTTTGATAAAATCATGGATACATAAAAGATGTGGTTGTTTAAATGTCTATAGTCTGTCTTAAAATGGCACCATAACTGATACAGATGTCCTCATGTACACAACAGTCCGAGAAGATTAACATTGGATTTTGTCAACCTTACCTGGTTACATATAAGTATTGAAACTTCATTCTCAGATAATAATTTTTATTGTATGCCTCTGTATATTGTTAATCCATGTGTAAATGTTAAACTTTCTTCAGAAAAGTTCAGTCACTAGATGACAAAAATTATCTACAAAGAGTAGTAGGTGACCTTGACCTTGAACTTAACAACCTGTGACATTTTACCATGAACTGTACAAACTTATGGATGGTACAAACATGTGTGAAATTTTGTAATTGTAAGAAACTCCTGTCTTGAAAGCAATACAAAGATTTTGTCTAAGATCACAAATGTCATATATTTGTTACAATCTTATCACATTGAGTTTGTTAAATTTCATTAGGAAACTTGCTGCTGTTTAGAAAATACAGTCCAGATTTTTTTTCAACAATTTTCTGACCTTGAACTTGATGGTACAGACTGTGATCCATGACAAATTGTCTAGTCAGGAGAACATTTTTGTGAAGTTTATAAAGAAAGTTTCAACTGTCATGTGTAATATTAATTGAGTGTAATTAGTAAATCTGGTGTTCTGAGTAAGAAACAAAAAATGAAATATATAAAAAAAAAGTTCAATATGCATCATACAATTTTTCAAACAAATTATAATTTTCTAAAATTGTAACTTTTCTAGTTTTGGCAAATTTGATTTTCTAAATATACACAATTTGATTTCGTTAGATGTTCTAAATCAACTCTACTGATTTATAAAGCAAACACCAACTATGCTGATCCATTTCCCTCTAAAGGTTTATATACACCCTGGTATATGATGATCAGTCTTAGGGCACGATATCATGTCATTGTGATAGATTCTCAATATTTTGCTGTTTCCTCTTGGAGATATAATGCTGATGATTCAATTAAATACAAGTCAGACTTCCAAATACTGTCTATTCTCATCGCACTTAATCTTTCACAACCTCATCTGCCTATAATTTGATCACAACTCACGTTGAAGTAAATTGAATCTGGTTTTTGAACAACAAATACATTTAATTTTTTAAAACAAGGCTAGGGTAGAATTTTGTCCTGAAGAAGCCCAAAGTAGGGGCGAAACCAGCCGACAAGAGGCCCAGAGGGCCTGTATCGCTCACCTGAATGTGTTTAAATAATTGGTATGAAGTAAAGATATAGCACTCCATGGTAGGTGCTGTAAGTACATATGAAATTTCAGAAAGATCCATCCAGTACTTGAGATATAGCGAGAACAAACTTCAAACAGAGCCCCACACCCTAAATTAGGATAAAATCCCTTCATTCCTATGGTAGAAGAAGGTTTTTAAAGGTTTTACCTCTAATTCCCCTATTGGGCCCCGCCTCTCTGCTTCCAGGGGGGTTAGACACACCGTTTATACAAAATTGGTTCCCCTTCACCCAAGGATACTCCACAAAAAATATGGACCAAATCCTTTCATTCCGACAGAATAAGAAGGATTTTAAAGAATAATTTGCTATATTTCCCCTATTGGGCCCTGCCCCTCAGCCCTCAGGGGAGCCACACCCACGGTTTATACAAAATTGGTTCCCCTTTACCAAAGGATGACCCACACCAAATTTGGCCCAAA